TGATTCTAATAGTAGGCTCACAAGGACAGCAGTGGTCAACATTCCAAAGTCTCGGGTAGTCGTCAGCAAGATTTTTCAGAACTTGGTCGTCGATGTTCACAATAGAGTGTGTGCATGGTAATACACACCCATCTCCCATTCCCAGATACAATCGTTTCGTTAGTTTCCCTGGACTTTTATCAGATCGAACTTATTATATGATTCCAGATCAGGTTTCTATTTATTTGTTATTTATTGTAGTTTTGATAAGTAAATTTGTTAGAAACTTTGTGAATTCGGAGGCTATCTAGAATAGGACTTTTGTGAAAGAGCAATGGGATTGAACCGTCAAACAGTGTAGACAGCATCGTGGAGTTGCCGCCTCAAATTCTGGCAATGCAAGATGAAGCAGGGTTGAATCAAGTGTACTTATTTCAATCCTGCACGCGGATGGCGTTTGATCAGATTCATGCGCATGACATTTTAGGCTTAATCCTCACCTCGGTATTGCAATTACGTCTAGGGACGACAATTTCCGATCCGGAAAGTACTGTATTTTTTTAGTCAATGGTATCGAACAAGAATGCTTTCCTCACTTCTAGAACAAATTGTCGTCAGGTTCCCAACTTCTCAAATTATCCTCCAAATGGGAATGTGGGTCGAGAATGGCTAGCGATGGAGAGACATTATTAGTTTATGTCATCTCTATCTCCTCCCAGTTTCTCTTTAATTTTTGTATTTTCTAATATCTAGTTACAGAGACGGAAAAGCATGTGGAAAGATTCTTACCAGGAGTCATGTAGGGGTTAGAAGTGATCGGACCGCTACTCGATAAGAATCAGGGATACGGTTCACAGAATTGATGTGCTCGAGGTCTTTCTGAATTCTTCACGTCATGGCACTGTAACTGCTCACATCTATCGCCGTTCTATGCATATCATGCACCTGTAATTCGGTCATCGTGTGGGAGGATGAAGAATCCATAAAAAGTGAATCTTGAGATGTGGGTGCTGATGGAGGGGAACATAGCACGTCGGAAGAAAACAAAAAATGGCTTTCAACGTTCACGAAATCTCAGAAGTCGATTATTGCATGGGATGAATTCGGCGACAATGAGGGAATTGTAAAGGGTGAGCTCGATCCGAGCTTGTAGAGCTTTGTTCTGCAGCACAAGGTCAAAGTAGAGGGACCAGCACAAGGTCAGCGCTTGCGTTCTTCTGTTGATTGTAATGAAATTCTCATTGATAGAGTGTGATGGATGGTTGTCAAATTTTGATCAAAAGTTTTTTGTGAGTGTGATTACAGTGTTGGAATAATGTAGTAGAGTTTAGACTGCACTCATAACGAATTGTTAGCTTAGAATGAACAAAGAAAACGTGAAAAATAGAATGAAAAGAAAAGTATTTTATTAGGATTTTAAGGTGAATTCACGAGCATTACTGATGCTGGGAGGGAGGGAGGGAGAGAGGGAGAGAGAAGCAAGGGTACACCAATATGCAATTCTTTTTAATGAAAGAAATCTCAAATTTGATGTTAAATCAAGTTGATGAACAAGTCTTTAAGAACAATTCGGATTTTTGCACCAATGCAAAAGATTATAGGTGAGATTTTTGTTTTATTTTATTTTATTTTTTTATATAGAAATTATGTTAGGTTTCTATTGAAGATAGATCCACAAGTAGTAGAGGTAGACAAAGTGAAAGCAAGAGTAAATATAGTGATTTTGAAAAACAACGTAATGATTGTGTGTTTTATTGGAAGTAAATTTCATCCAAAACTTGGCAAAGGATAGTTTTGTTGTAAAGTTGAGTAAATTGAGAAATATTGTAGGAAAAAGGATCATACTTGAAAGAAACTTAGCAAAGGATATCATAATTTAAAAATATTTGTAATTCATGTTAAATAATTTATATTAATTTAATATTATACAATATTTTGTTAAAAAAATTTATAATTCAACATTAAAATTCTAAATTTGATCCAAATAGATTACAAAACTTTAACATATTAAAAAGCATCAAATTTGAAAAAATCTCTACTTAAATTATACTAAAAGAGTTTTTTAAGGAATTATAAAAAATGACTCTATAAGTAGTAGTCTATTTAGAAAAGATTTTAGAAACGATTTAAAAAAGTGATGAAAAAATTAATCTAAGATTCAATTCAACATTTTAATCAAGTAAAAATTATAGATTGAAAGTAATTGTTACTAATCTAATTACCTATAAACAAAAAGAATTTTTGATTAAAAATAAAAATTTATCTATTTAATATTGATTTTGTCTAATTATTAATTGTAACGTCAAAGATTGCAAGGTTTTGACAAGAATTAAGTAAAATTATGGATTAATTTAATTAAGATATAATAAATTATCTATTAATTATAATAGCTAATAAAAATAAAAACAAATGAAATTAAAGAGATAAGAAATAATACTATAGAAGTCATGAATATATAAATAGAAATTGTGCAAAAGAGATTATTTATTATTTCACATGAGGTTATGAAAAAACTCTAAGATAGTCAAAAAGAACTTATAGTAATATACAAAAGATAGTCGCATCAAAGATCAAACAACACATAACATGTGTTATATAAAAATTTGCATGTAAAAATAGCTCTCTACCAAATTGTTATACTAACAATTTACAAATGAATTATTAACTATGCTTTAAACATCAAAAGAAGTCAGAGAAGCACAAGCACAAAGAAAACCAATTGTAGCCACAAATGTAATAATTTTGGAAGTTTATATAATGTAATATAGCTCTCTACTAAAAACATTAATAGATAATATAGAAACATTTCTAAATAATTGTACAATATAGATTATTTTTATTAATTCTTTTATGATTTAATAGATGTGGTTAATATTTATGAATATAAGAAATATACAAAAATTAAAAAATTAAAAATATGCATGCTTTGGATGGACATATAAAGTTTATCAACTCAAGGCCCAACTTCAAAATTTATAAGAGATTCAACAAATAAAGATCATTTTTCTTACAAAGTCATTAGAGGCCTTATAGTACTTGTATAGAAAGATAGAAAAAGGGTAAACCATAGAAATGAAAGACCTATTATATTATTAAATACTTCATAAAAAACATATAAAATTATATTACAAAAAAGATATTTAGTTGGTTTTAATAGAAATTATCCATCTTAACCATAATAATTTTTTTATTTAGAATTTATTTTGTATGATATTTTTACATTACAAAAAAATTAATTAGACTTAAATCTTTAAATAATCACTATTATTTTTGAAATTAATTTGTTTTAAAGCCTATGATAACATGTCTTAGATTTTTTTAATCTAAAGCTATGATAAAGTCAGGTCTTAACCAAAATTAAGGCACATGATTCTATTAGTATTCAAAGATGTTTAAGTATTTTTTCATTAAATGAAGCCATTAATAAAAACATATTTGTTGAAAAGAGATTTTCTATTGGCATATTAAGTTTTTATTGTGGTTAAAAAATTCTAAATATTTTTATTTAGATAGTAATACAAAATGAAACCACCTATTAAGTCACTTTATTTGATACCATAGGTCAGTAAAATCTTAGTTACTATGTAATTTTAAAAAAATAAATCGTAAAAGAAAAAAAAAATTAAGTTGCCATTTTCAGGAGAATTTCATAAGACTTTTGTCTTGCATTTGAATTTAAAATAAATTGGTATAAATCATTTTATATTAATGAAATAAAAAATAAAATAAAATAAAAACTCAGGACTTAAACAAATTAATAAATTTTGGTATATTTGGGCTTTTATTAGCAAGATGAGTATATTTATAAGAACCTTTTTTATTCTAATGTTTCTAAATTATAATGTTAATATAAATATAAATTATATTTTATTATATTAATGATATAAATTTTTGAAACCAACAAGATAATAAAGACATTGTCTTCGTAAACCACCACCTTAAGTTCATTCTTTGCATGTAGAAAAACTGTGTTTCTTTAAAACCTAAAACTTAATATATGATAATTGATTGATCTAATATAAGCAAGATTATGTAAAAAAATTACTTTTAGATACCAAAATCATGCATGGTTCTTACATGGTGCACTCAATGGTTTATTTTCTATACTCTAGTGTCTTACATGCCATATTCTAATATCTAGGAAAAAATTAGCATAATAATTTTTACCATAAACTCAAATAATACGTATTTTTAATATAGTTTATTTTAAGTATTAATCAAAACAAATTCCTAAATATTACAACGTCTTTGGCATTAAAAATGTTACTTTTCAAAATTTTCTTTAAATGCAAAAATTCTATCTCTATTAATGTGAAGTCTTTGTCAAGTTATGAGATTTCAAATTTAACTCACTTAAAACTTCACATAATATATACATAACCTCTTAGTCAATAGGGAAGCTTGCTAATGTTTCTAAGGTTTATTTTAAATCTAGTTTATATGGTAGATTTCTTGAATTTAAATTCTTAATTTTCAGTATTTAGATTTTTTTTAAATCATTAGTTTTTGAATATAACTTGGCATAATTAAAAGCTTATTTGGCATGATCAAAAAATAAGTTTATTTGATAGAATTGGTGACATATAACAATGTATTAGTTTAAGTCACTCGTTTTTTTGTTGATAGGTTTTTTATTTTTATTTTTATTTTACTTCAGTACCTTTATTTAACGTCTCCAATGCAAATTTTCCTAAATAAATTAGAAATTTATAATTTATATCATTAATATCATAGTCATTAAATAATGTTTCTTTAATACTTAAGGAACTAATTGCATACGTACTAATAGCAGAAGTAGCAGAATCCCAAGTCAAAATTGACTTATAATTTGAAATGAACTTTAGTTGCATTTAGCTGCTTAAAAATCCACTTCGACAGTCACATTAGAAGGAGCTCATTTATCAGACACCGTGATGAAGCTACATCTCAAGACGGCGAATACATCTCCGACACTGATCCAAGTGGCAAAAATTGTGAAAGGATCTGCCTCGAACTCGATTTATGTGCAGAAACGGAAGAAATGAGACCATGTGCCTCTTGTGAGGTTTCCATGTAAGATTTGAGTGGGTACATCCTGCAAAATGAGGACTTGAAACCTAACCCAGTATGAATATATATACATACATATATACACACACAAACATATATGATCCATAACAGTCTTCTGAACAGTTGATCACCACTGCACATCATTTGAACGACAGTTTTTAGAGCTTGGAGTTTTTACTAATCCGTCGGTGGATCCATGAACTCCGTTGTGGATCAGTTCAGCCCACCGACGATCCAAAGGGTCATACACTAGACAGTCACCGACCTCATGCAGTCAACTGACTCAGACTTCAGTTCCGTTTTTCACTGGGAAGTTCAGAATTTATGGCGCAGCAGTTCAACTTGCATAAATCGACGTCCTGGGGTTTCGAAGGCAGCCAGGCTGTTGCAGAATATGCTCACGCCAGCCTTTGTCACTAGGATGCACTGTTCGATAGCAGAGTGGACACCTTAAAAGTTTGTGTTGTTTACTCATCTTACAGTCCTTGCTCTTGTGATGCGCTGCGAGTCGCAGCTCTGGAATAGCTAGGTAGCACTTTTGACATTCAACATACCTGTAGCACACGTTTGAAGGACGAGATTTTCTTATGCCACTGAATGAAAGCTGAGTACTGGTGAAGAATTTGAGACAAAAGGTAATAGATTTCGAGGGACAAAATTGATCTTACAACGGACTTCCTCTTAGCCAAACTCAGGACGAGAAGGAGTTAAATAAGTGATATTCTTACCTCCTTCCTGACACGCACTCAAACAAGTAGTGATCCTTCAATGATGATATCTCAACAATCTGCCCGCAACTACTGCAGCTTGCAAGCATGGGACACTGCTCACAAAAGTGGAGATCCAAGTTATCGCCTTCCTTGAAACGAGCGTCCTGTTTGCCACAGAACAAGCACGAGTCCACATTTTCGTCTTTGTCCACGGAAGAATTGTCTGCATTCTGTGCATTCTGTGTCAGGGTCGAATTAATCACATTAATGAGCTTTTCCACATTGCGGTAGACAATCTGTAAGATAGTTACTGTTGTCCTCAAAATTGAAAGTACTAGGGGCAAATATGCGATTTACCTGGGTGTCAGGGGAAGCCACCTCATCTGATGAGTGAGTTTGCACTGAGTGATAATCATATGCAGCTTCCGATTCCGTCAAATCTTCATTTACTTCAACCAACAATGCGTTTTTTTGGATGTGCTCCCACTTAGTTTCCTGCAGCCAACCAGAAGACTCCAAGGTCAACACTTCAACGTGCTAGATTTTTACTTATCTTCGTCTCTTTCGAGTGATTTCCATATCCTTGGATTCGCACAAGCAAACATTTGAAGACCATCACATTTTTAGAAGCGGCTCAAGACGTGAAAAACCTTCGTGTATGAATTGGCATGGTAGTAGTCTGGTGATCCTTTTAAAGGAAACTCCCTCGAAGTTATCGGAGTCTCAGGCTCTTCAATTTTCTGCTCCAGCTGCCCCGACTGCTCTGCCATCACAGAAAAGCAAAGAAACTGTAAATTTCTACATGAAAGAGTATCAATTCAGACATTCTTCAGAACTCAAATGATGGAAAAAGGAACAAAATATGGTTCGAAAGCTTTTAGACCAAGAAATCAGGTTAAGAACAAAATCAAGCTGCCACCTACCAGCGCAGATATGATTGCAGAACCTTTTGACATGCTGGCAGAGGCAGTGGGTTTATTCCCCTTATCACCAGATTCGAGTTCCTCAATATGATCCTGAATCATAGGTCGGAGTCCACCACTACTAGGTCCAGCACTCTGGGACTTTCCAGGCTCGTCTGGGGTAAATGATCTATCTTTTCCTTCCTCGTTCTTGAATTCGCAGACCACTTTCTCAAAATTGGATGTTAAAATCTGTAAAATAGTCATGCCTTGAACGTTTCAGGTAACTACTTTGTCTACTCCCGTTACTAGAATTTTCCTCAATGATCTCGAAAGTGCATCAAACAGATTCACTCATCAAACTTTCTATTTAGCGGTCAAGAAAATCCCGATGGAGCAAAGCACACCTCTTTAATCAGAGGCTTGATGCCCTTGAGGTACTTGTCCACAGAAGGCCCTATAGATCTGTAGACCTCCGTCGTCACCTTGATTGCCTGGTTTCTAACTTCCCCATTCGGGTTGTTGAAGGCTTGGATGACAAAATTCATGAGAGCATCCGAAGGAAAGCCAGTCCCATTAGGAGGTTGTATTCCATAGAGGGGTACGGCATGTTGAAGCAGTTGCAACCGGCCCAAAACTGGCCTCCAATTGGCCTATTTAGGAAATTTATTCCAAAACTAAATTCCGGAATTCATGATATGAATTGTTTTGGATGCAAGTGGAAGATAAGACAGACATGGTTGACCCCTATACCTCCAAGTTTCTTTGTGAAGTCTTTCTAATTGTTACTAATACTCATAAAGAATATCACACACATTTAAAAACCATCAACAAATCACAGCCGTGTGATATAATTTCCATGTGCCTTCACGACTAAAATGTCCTCTCCCATTTTAACTCAACGTCTGGTTCCTGTAAAACTATACAAGTTAAACAGATAATGGAAAAGGAAATAAGAATGACCTGATTTTTCGGCAGTTTGAGCAGAGGCCCAGAGAGCACCATGATTCCTATTTCCTTTCTGGATGCGAGAAACATCAGTGTCTCGAAGGATCCTTCCTTCGTCCGAGCATTGAGGTCCCCGAGTTTCTCAAGAAGAATAACTGTAAATCCACTTGATGCAATGTGTAGGTCTCGATGTGGGACTGTCGATGTGTAAGTTGTTATGACGGCGCGTAAAAGCTGCACATTGCAAGCAGTGATAAGCAACACACGAGAAAACTTCGACGGAGTCGAGAATTATAGGAAAAGAAACAGTAAAGTGCAATTCTCGGTAGAAAATAGTATTTGGAAATTCTTATATACAGGTCACTAGTAGGCTAATGTTCGATTAACTACCACAAGCATGGGCAGGGTTCTGACCTGCAGAGACGTGTTGAATACATTAGCAACTCTGTCATTGAGTGTCCGAAGTAGGACTTTGTTCATCATTCTAAACAAAAACATTTCAAGCCATCGTCATTTCATATCACATTCTCTTGTCAATTCGTCGTGCGCACTTATAACTAGAAATTTTTGGCTCGCGGTAGGTCTCAACATACCCTCATTCTATCTTATCTTACTCACAGGAATGTATCCTCTTCCATTACTATTTCAAGTTCCTTTAGGTCTCTGATCTTTGCTTGGATGTTCCCAAATCAGTCTAGGTTGAGTAGAAAGTGCCAACCAGCCTCAGATAACTCTTATAATGGCCTCTACGGACCTAAAACTGTGATGTTTTCACAGCTCGCGCAGGAGATCAACGAGACTCTAGAACGATTCTGAAATGAACGACATACTTTAACTTGCTTCTTCAACCATAGAAATTTGACCCAAAAAAAACTATCGCTTCCATACTAATAATCCGATCTGGAGTGCGCAACTTTTAGCTGCAATCAGATCAAACGTACCTGAAGGAAGGGCCAGGTTCCTCCAACAATTTATTTGCGGACACTTCATCAATAAGAAACTGAAGAGCTTTATCTCGCAATTGCCAATGCTTGCTGAACAAGCATTCCACATGGTGAAAGTCCATGACAGATAATAAAGGTCCAGCTTCCATTTTCACGTTGTCTGCTAGTGGTTCTGGTACTAACTCATTCCCAGTAGCTGTAACAGAGCTCGGAACGTCTCCATTGTGAACAGGCAATGTTTGCTCTTGAACCATCAGCGTCGTATTTGCCTCATGGTACTGTTGAGATTCAGGTGTTGAGCTGAACAAGCCCTCAGAGTTATGATCAGCATTTGAATCCACGGAAACCCTTGGTGTTGTACTTGGGCAAGCGCATAAAACAGACTCCTCCTGCATTGGTGAGGTTGGCAATAGTGACGGATGTGGTGGCATTTCAGGTTGGTATTGAGTTCCAGTGGTTGTAGTAGTGGTCGCAGGTTCATGGTTACTAGAATTGAGCAATCCTGTTGGAGAGGTGGCCAGGTGTAGCTTCAGTGGCGCCAAACGTGGCGTGAATGAAGCCTCATTGAAGTTGGACGTCGATACTAGCGAGGATGTTAACAGCGATGGACTTGTAGCAACAGGTAACTCCTGCTGTAGGTGAGTGAGAACATTCGCTGAAAGATCAGCCGGAGGGGTTGTATTAGTAGCACAAAATGTTGATGACGACATTGACGAAGCGATTAGCTTTGCAGATGTAGGTACTGATTGTCGCATATCTGATGATGCAACGTTAACTCCCGGCAAGTATTTATCTGAAAATCCGTTTTCATTTGTTCCACATATCAGAGGAGTTGGTGAACAACTGATCACATTCTGCAGCTTCATCAAAGGTGGCAAAGTGCGGGAGGATATCGCTCGTAGAGCTGATGATATGATTCCAGCGCACAATGGAGGAGTCAATCACAACACCGACCAGAATAGGAATTAATTAACGAAGGGCTAGAGTTTTGAAAGTATGAACATTCAAAAATAGAATTCGCAAGTGTATAGTAACTTTTTTTTTCTCAGGGAATTTAAGCAAGTAAGATTACCTTGACTCACAGTAGGCGGAGGAGAAATCTCTGAGGTATTGAGGATGCTGTGGTCCTGATACCATGGAAGGATCTCCGGAATAACTTCTTTTGGCTTTTCATTTGACAGGACTGAGGAGGTTGAGATCACTTCAAAATCCCTTTCTTCTGCCCAGCACAAGAAGTCACAAGATTAATGAGAAACCTGTACTATACATAGTACATCCCATTATGACTTCAAAAGAAATCTGGGGTAAATCTCATAAAAAGGAGATAAATTACAGCAAACTTCATCCTAGAGTGTTGTTATATATCATTCATGACATTCAAAAGAAATATGTCAGGAGGTATAAAACTTACGAATCTTAAAAGAAGAATAAGCAGGTTTGAAATCTAATATCCCATCGCAGGATGCCAAATTTTCATGATCTTCAAGACGTCTGTTTAGTTTGACGGCATTGTTCAAATCTTTCACTGTTTGCATCCATATTTCTTTCGTCTCCTAAAAGCATCAGACAGTTTCAACATTGTATAAATTTGAATTTGATTGCGTAGATGAGTTTCAATTTGTCGTTGCGAATCCTTGATTGACAAAGCAGTAACGGAATCTGCATAAGGTTGTCCATAACTGAGGCATTGACAGCTGGAAATTATGGTCTTTTAGCTGGGATGCATTCCGAAACTCACCTCACACGACGATCGTTCTTGCAAGTTGTCTGGTAATTTTGTGGCAATCCCGCTCTCTAACCTGTGAAAGGCATATCTAATATGATTTGCTATACACCTGGCGCCCTTTAAATGGCTTCCTTCAACATCAGGACCCTTAATACAATATCATAGCAGCTGCCGATACAAATTCCCTTCGTATAAATACATATGTAAAATCTTGTAAATGACTCATAGATGAGAACCTGTCTGAAAATTTAGGTCTGACTATATGTTCATGATCAAGTAAACCCTCATCGCGTTGCAACCGTTCCATTTCCATCTACTCACAACAACACACGAAACGCTACAGCTAGATTTTTGATACAAGCATATCTTACACAGAACGAGGATCGCAATGACGCTAACATAAAAACTAACCAAATAAAGAACAGATATATCTCAGCTCTTCTAAAAAGTACCCAAGCAAAAGAGAACCCAGAACTTCTTCAAGCTCCTGAGTGCAGGAGCCATGTTAAAGTTCAAGTGCATACAAAGTTACGTAAAATATACCATGTAAGATTTTAAGTAGGAATGAGAAATACACTTATGTAATAGTCCGAAATTGCGGTGCAAATCTGGAGATTAAGTATAACTAGAAAAAGCTTACCTTGCAGAGCTTTGCAGTGTCATAGTCCTCCACTTCAACGGCTGCAAACTTCCGACGCTCAAACTGCTTCAGTTTCTTTCCCAGCTCTTTCAACTTCTCAATCAATTTCTGCAGGTTTTTCCGAACGGTATGCTGAAAAAGTCTTCTAAAAAGCTTACGATCAAGCACGCAGACAAATGTTTATAACCATATATGTCGTAGAGCGAGGCGATTGGTCCGTAAAGTGGACGAAGCGAAACTTCTACCTTCAAACGCTTGGCTTCGTCATAGTCTTCATTTCCAACTGCGGCGACTTTATCTTGAAACAACTGGCGGAAACCAATTGGCATAAATGCACAATTCAGGGGCAGTCAAGCCACAAATACATACTGATTAACCTCAAAAGCATTACTAAAGAATTCTCAAGTTAGTGAGCAAAAGCTGATGTACTGATTACAAAAACTAGAATATGACAAACTAAAGCTACAGTGTGGGGAGAGTGTTATATAGACTGACTGCACCTGACGAAGACGAGCTCCTGAGGCAATATCCACTTCAGCAAAGTCAAAAGCAACTGCTTTTGAACTTGGAGCCGAAACTCTGGTATCCATCCCCTTCGTGCGTGCAACCTGAATGCTGGATACATACTTACTGCCTTTCATAAAAAGGTTGATTTTTCTGCGATTGCCATCTTCAAGTTTACAACGTCCATGCAAAACCCTATGACCTAAGATAATCGTTTATTTCTTAATAAGCATTACAAGAAGTAACTTGAGGAACAAATTGATGAATGAGACCATACGTGGATATGAGAGAAGACTTTGTAACTTCATGCTGGTTGAAATACTCGCCCTGCTGACCTCCAAGATGTTCACCCGTAATGATGACGGCCATTAAACCCACCTGCAGAACCCCCAAAAACCTTCCGCATATAGGATGATTAGATTTTATTGATGATCAGTCATGAGCAAAGTTGAAGAATCTATCACTGTGCCTCAGCCCATAACGCTTCCATGCTAATTGGTAGCATACACAAGAAAATGAATCAAGGTTGTTTCAAGGTAAACTTTGCTGGAAACAAGGAGCCGTACTATATTTTACTCGTTCAAGGGAATGAAGAGTACCTGATTGAAGATATTCAATTTATTGGTGTAGCAGTTGTGTAGAAGTAATCTTATGGTTGCTGCTGAAGAGTCCACATAAACGCTCTTAAGTTCTCTTGCCTGATGGTTGCTTCGATCATTTGGATCTAATGAGAAGTATCTGAAAGTCACTCACAAAATGTCAGAGCTGTAGAAGAGCGAAGACAAACAAAGATTATATTGGTGATTGGCCAAACATGTAATCACTTAGTTTATAGCAGACGTGTTTACCCAAGGCGCTTCATCTGCCCAACTGTGTCGCTACTGTGAACATGTGGATTAATCATGCTCACAAAGATCTCCACTTTAGAGGGGATCTGCATGCTCGTTGCAATCCAAATAATTTTAAACCCTGTAGAAAGCAGTTTATGTAACCCAAATAATTTACCATCTTTTTATGCAACAGCATTTGCAGACCAAGCTATGCGCGTAAAAAGTAATCAGAGCTCCGAATTTCCATTTCTGGACGAAGTTACCATAAATTCGTGACAGAGCAACTGCATGTTAATGATTCGTGATGGATGCTGCAACTCCAATACTATTTCTTGAGGGAATAAGCAGAATCTGCAACAAAATGGGCATTTCAAAATGTAACGCATGCCAGAAAATAGAATTAGGTGTAGGAAATCCAGGTCCAGCACTGGTATGAATTTATGGTTGCTAAGATCCACGCAAAGAAGAGGATCGCCTTGCGTTGAGAAAGAAAAAACTTGCTCTTCACCATGAATTTGTAACGAAATAAATTAAAATTCCCATAAATTGGTGTGAAGGCGAAAAATATGAATTTGTAGAAGAAGAGGGCCTGGGTGACACACCTTGAGCTTTGCCAACCTCGACCTAACGCATCATTGTTCAGCTCACTTACAGGGAAGTCTTCATCCTGGGTCATGGCGTTTGGGGGAGCTCAGAGTGTCAAAATAGAACAACTACAAGGAGGTTAGAGTTAAATAAATTGCCTGAATTTGTAACCCATTATGAACAACGATGTTTCATTTCTCTGCATATGGACCACAAATTCCGTTTGCCGATTCAAGAACCCTACATCTCTCATGTAACGGAACAAAAAAACCCCAAACGAAAAAAAATCTTTTGTAGCGAGAGCATACCTGGCTGGAGCATGAGACCACTGCAAAGGGGATGGCCTTGGCGCTTGCAGGATTACTGCTTCTATCTTCATACACACACTCACTGGCCACTTCCTGGCGCACAAAACCAGGCTTCAGGTCGCTGCTCATGATGACTAACCGATCCAATCTTCTCGTTCCTCAGTCCGCTTGAGACAGAGCACATGAAGAGTTTCTACATTTGCAACCGACTTACTCCACAAACTTGTGCTCAATTCGAATACTGACTCGCCATCAAGGTCTCGAACATGAACACTGGAAAACAACCACACTACGAGTGTGAGTCCCACGCACTGTAAAGCAGCAAGATGCACCATCACTCAAACTGATCAAGAATCTGCTCATTGCAACGTTCATGTCGAGCATAACTGATGTTGCCGATTTGGGGCAAACAAGCAACATGACCCCAAATTCTTCGCATAGCAAACTGCAAAATTGACAGAACAAAAAAGACGTACAAAGTATGTGCTTGGGTGGGAGCATGTCATGGACTGGAGCTTGCTTGGCAGCATGTCATGGTTGCTAAACCATCACAACTGATTCTTGCATGTCAGTTGGCAATGTGAGCAACGGCCCTCCACCTGTGCCACCGTCATCTCTGTCTGTCTGGTTCAGTTCTGAACAATGGTCTTGTGATGGATTCCATAGTTTTTGATCAGATAAGTGGGACAGTGTCTGTTAGTTTCATTGCTCCCAAAAGTACCCATTCCCTTCCAGAACCCACATTTTCCTTCTCCTCCGACATGTTGATGTGGTGTATCACTCCTCAAAAGGAAGTTGTGATAGTGGCACATTTCCACTTTGTAGCAAGAGAGACTCATTTGTATCCTTTTCGCCTCTTGGCCCCTCTTGTGTTTTGGTAGATAGATAGATAGATACACAAATACATAGAAAGATATTAATATGTATACTTAAATATATCAGTGGAAATATGCACACAAACACATAGAAAGTTATTAATGTGTATACTTAAATTTATAAATGGAAATATGCACACAAATAAGAGCTAATAAATTATTATGATTTCTAAATGAATATTCTTTAATATATGTAGATATGAATGAGTGTACATTTGCAAAAATGTATGGTTAAGTTATATTAGTTTTTGTGAATATTTAATAATATTACTTATTTCTTCTAAATTTGTATATAAATTTATTATTTAAGTAAGATTTTAAGATATGTTAGTAATAGTATTTTATTTTTATTATTATTTGAATAAATAACTTCAATGCCTTTTAGATACGTACATCAAGATAGAGTTACATAGAATTGATAATGGATAAGCATTGAGGTTTAAAGGTATATACTTTTATTTTGCAATTATTGGCTTTGAGATGTATTAGTGGTCTTAGCATGTGGTTGTTTTACTAGGAACGGCCATTGCTGAAATTTAAACAATAATATTTTTGAAAGAAAATTTGATTTTCTTCTGTAGTATGTTGTTTGTAATCTTGTTATAATAATATAATTTGTAAGATTTATAACAACCAAACAAGAACCATTGCAAATACCTTGACCTGTAGTAATATTTCTTCAGAATGTGATGTAGCATCTAATGTTGAATTCCAATTTTATTGGAGGTATTCTATTAAACTTTACTATGGTATTGTATTTAGTATACATTTCAATTATACACTGTATATTCTATAATGATTATATCTATACTAAAATAAGATTTCAATTTTAAAAAAATATATTTAAATAACTTACTTATTGATAGCAACAATATTATCATTTTAAGCTAATATTGTTAATTACTTACATACTTATATATATATATATATATATATATATACATAAGTATATATATATATACATTTTATATACATGCATGTTTTTTAACTTTTACTCCAACATAAATGGCTTCAACCAAAGCTTCTAAAGAGAGATTCTTATTTCATCAACATTATATATTTTCTAATAATTTGTCTATACTTAAATCATATTTATCTATAATTAGAAAATTTTAAAATCATCATGAATAATACAAGATTTAAATTGTAATCCACTATATATATATATATATATATATATATATATACTACTAATTTAGCTTGTAGGATGCTTTGCAAATTATTGAATTTTGTTTTGTTTGAACATGTGATTATATAATAATAGTTTTAAAATTATATTTCTTGATGCATTGACAAAGTAATAATCATTAAAGACAAGCACCTATACTTTCATCTTACCTTATTATTATTATTATTATTATTATTTTAAGGTAAAATTAATAAAATTATCCACCAATAATTATAATGATTATACCTAGATGATATGAGAGCTTAATTATATGACAAAGAGATAAAGAAGTATTTTTTTAGTCAATTGGTTGAGATAAAGAAGTCTTCTTATTGGCCAAAAACATATGTTGTCCTTTCACAATATAAAAACATGTGTTGTCCTTTCACAACACACTTCTCCAAATACAATCAATATCCTTTTTTTCAAATATAATAAAGCCAAAATTACCACAACAATTGTAGTTTAATCTAAAATTTTATATTCTAGCTATTTAAGCTATTGAGGTAAATAAAAATTGTCTTTGTCAACAACATTGAAGAAATGTAAATGATTACTTTATTAGGTTTTTTTTTACGTTATTTATGTTGACTTTTTGGTTTTTGTCACTCTGAAAAAACTGTTAGAGACAACACACATATCACCTAAGTAAGATTAATAACAAATCATACGTATCTAAGTTTCGTTGGACTGTAGACGTGAGCGAAGTAATACAAATCCAGAATAATCCAGAATCTGTTCTGGATCACGAATGAAAAACACATTGAGCAAGTTCATCCATCCACATATGCACCGAATTCTATCCATCCATCACGCACATCGTTCCATCCATCCCTCAACCTATTCATCCGCCACCACGGCAATCTATTCATCCACTGATATCATCCATATATTTACACGTCTGTTCCATCATTCATTTATTCAGTCATTCATTCATCCATTTATTCATCTTCCGTTGTGGAGTCGGCAGGTGCTGTGTGTGCCAGTGTGTCCCTCGGCATGGAAACTCTACGCTACTGTACAAGAATTCTAGCCTAATGCTACTGCTTGTCTAACACTCACCGATGTTATACACATCTTTGCGTAGCAGCGTATTCTCTTTCTCTCTGACCTCAATAGTTCACAGAATCGTTGACCAACGATGCATTCCTGGCTACAATGTAGCACGTTGTTGTTGATCCACTTCTATCGCAGTGTTCTGAAGAGTTTGGTATGTAATTTGTAGGCTCGTAGAGTTCTTGTTCTGTTGTTTCGGGTTTAATTGTTATGGTCTTGGGGATGGATCGGGAGCGGGAGAGAGTAAGGGTGGAGGAGCAGTGAATGCGAGAGAAGGTGTGATGAAGTTTTGATGCGGTGAGGAATTGATTGTAGAGGAGGAGAAGGGAAGGGGGTGAAGATGAGAGGGGGCAGGTTCCAAGCTAAGAGCAATGAGGATGCCAATGTGCGGAATGCGGAGGCATTGTTCGAGACTAGGACGGTCGTAGAGATCCGTGAAGTGGAAGCTCACACGCGCGATGAGATCGAGGAGAAGAAAGAGGAGCTGCGGCAACTCGTGGGTGCCAGTTATCGCGACTTGATCGAGTCTGCGGATTCGATTTCGCTCATTAAGCAGTCATGTCAGGCAGTAGTGGCCAACATTGGCAAGATGGAGGGGGGATTCGAGGATTTGAAGCGGAGTGTGACTGTGAATGTCTTGACACCTGCTGCGGATATCGAGCGAAAGAGGAGAGGGAGCCTGTACGAAGTTGGCTCTAGGGTTAAGTATCTCGTGGATACGCCAGAAAAAATCTGGGGGTGTCTGGACGAGCATATGTATTTGGAGGGTGCGGAGCGGTACTTGAGAGCCAAGGAAGTGCACTCGATTTTAACTGGGATTGGAGCAAAGGAGGAGCTGCTTGGGAGATTTCCGCTGCTGCGCCAGCAATGGACCTTGATTGAGAGGTTTCGTGGGCAAATTTCGAAGCGTAGCAAGGATAGATTGCAGGAGCCGGGATTGAGTCTTGTAAATTATGCGGTTGCTTTGGCCGCTTGCGGCATCATTGATGAGCTTAATTCCTCGCAGGTCTTCGCTCTGTCTCTGGAATCGTGCAAGTTGTGGTTAAGGTCGCACCTGCGTGCTTGGGTGCAGGGTAGGAATTCTGGGGATAATAGAGAAGGGATTGATATTGCGACGGATGTAGCGACTTCCCTTTGCAAGTTGATGCATATGATTCAGACCTCCGTGTGCCAAATCGGGGTGTTGTTTTTGGAGGTTTCGACTGGAAAGATGCCCCTGCTTTACAGTACTGTCCTGGCAGCTCCGCCCGGTTCACAGCTCTTTGGAGGTATCCCTAATCCCGAAATGGAAGTGGCGGCGTGGAAGAAATATAGAGAGAAGCTCGAGAGCAGCATGGTCTCTTTGACAGGATCATACATTTCGGATGCCTGCGTGTGGTGGCTTAAGGATTGCGCTGAAGAAATTGCTGTAGAATCGCGACCACTGATAGCGCTGCTAAAAACGGGTAAGGGATTGGCTGATGTCGAGAGCCTGGTACGCGATGGTATGAATAAACAGGATGCATTAGCAGAGAGCCTTGACTGGCTGCAAGGCACTTTTGGAAAATTCATAGACTCTCCATGGGACTGTTTATGTGAGCTCCTTTTGAAGGCTCCCACAAATCTATGGGACAAGTTATTTGAGGAATTGTTTACCAACCAAATGAAGGTGATTATAAACGGGGGTTTCGAGAAAATCAACGTGAAGGAGATGATCGATAATTGCCTAGAGGTAATAGGACCAACTGCTGCCGTAGAAGGCACTAAGAAGAAGCAAGTGTCAACGGCAGATGCAAGTAGAATCGTTCTCCAAGAGTTGGATCCTAATTACGACGGAAAGCTACATTGGAAATCTGGCAATGTAGAGACTGAGTGGGATGGTGACGCCCGATTCTTCTTCACTCCAGAAGTCACGAATGTGAGGCACAAAGTAGACGAAAGTCTGAATTTGATACTTCAGGACTTAGTAAGCTTTTTGCAAGGGCCTCACATGCAGGTAAGAACTGATTTAGTAGCGCCCTATCTACAGGAACAATGTTTCAGGTGGGTATCTTCTACAACCTTGGTCATTGAAACTCGGCTTTTGAAGCTTTCGGAAAATATGGCAAAAGCAGCTACGGAAGCATTGAATCTGAGTGTGGAGAGTCCAAAACAAGTGTTGGAAGTCAATTCGCATAGTAGACCTGTCAGTAAAAGTGGTATCAACATTCACGCATCCAAGACAGGAAATACTTCTAAGGTGTTTGAACAAGCTTTATTCCTGGGACGACTTTCTGCAGCATTAGGAGAGCATTCTACTTCTCTGCCTTCCCTTTTGGGGTCCTCATCATGGAACACTCCTCTTCGTCAAACCTCAACCAAGGTTCCGTACCAAATGACGAGGCAATCATTGTGGTCTGAGACAAACTCTAGTTTTGAGGGTTCTGTAAAGCGGTCTTCCAGAAGAGGAGTCAGAGATACGTCACTGCCAACTTCTGATGATGGAGGAGCAAAATTGCGGGAATTGCGAAGTGGATTAAGACAGCAGAGCATTGCTGCCCACCAGATTTGGATTCGTTGGAGCACTGATAATTTGTCTGGCAATCTCTTGAGAGATCTGCATCTAGATGAATGCTTGTCGACTCTCACACCTCTCAAGGTAAATTCGTATGTTTCTCACCTCTGAGCTATAAACATGCAATTCCTTTAAGCTTTTTTATTATGCCAAATCATGGTTGAGGTGTACATTGATCATTTGAAATATAACTTTTCTACGTCATTTCATCAGCTTAATTCAATTCCACTTGTTGTTCTGAAGGGATGGGAAGAGACTGTAATCAAGTCCATTGGAGACGAAGCCGAAGAAGTGGACGCGCATATATCAGTGCCAGCTATGCCGTCACCTTACGTCGTTGCATTCTTGTTCGCTGGTTGCCAAAAGATCCATCGGATTGGTGACCATGTTCTAGATAGAGCTGTTTTGGAGTTGTTTGCTTGGGAACTTTTAGAGAAGGTAAGCTTTTACTGGTTATCTCACAAATGCCACCGCTCCCTAAATCCTACATACGATTAATGAATGCTTGATTTTAATATTTCTCGCAAATTTTAATACTTGTGCGAACTTTTTCGTTAGAGCATTACTCAATTCTATTATCATGATCCTCAGTATGGCATGTTTTTATCATTGAAACCAGATTGATAACAGACCAACAGCATGCTGTGTAATGTCAGTTCATTGTTTAAATGTTGATTGTTGGAAACGGTACTTACCCTGATTGATGTCTCGAAATTGTGGAGGCAGGTTTTGATAATATATGAGAAGTTCATGTCTCATCTCTCGTTCATGAACTCGCGTGTGTCAGAGAAAGGCTTGCTGCAGCTCCTTTTTGACCTTAAGTTTCTAGCAGATGTACTTTCAGGAGGTGAAGAGGTTCGTATAGAAAGCTTAAGTGTAATTGGGACTGAGGATCTGACTCCTTCCTCTGCATTGAAGAAAGCTACGAGTTTGAAAGCAGACATTGGCCGTAAGAGATGGGTCGACAAATTGCTAAATGATTTACATAATCGCATTGATCCTATTGATTGGGCTACGTGAGTTTACTCGTCTCAGACTTTTTGTTTTCAAGACTTTAATTGCTTTTTGGAAGGTTTTGTTACCATAACAGCTAAAAAATTCAGAGTCTTTACTGGCTTTTAGGTTGCCATGCATTTGCCGTTAATTCTCATCTACTGTTTTTTCGTGGAAATGCTCATCTCGTAAACTTCGAGATGTGTCCTGCAGGTATGAGTCGTACTTGTGGGAGCAAGAGCGGCGATATTATCGAAGTTGTGCAGTGCTTTTTGGATCCCTCATCCAGCTGAAACGTCTTCATACCGATGTTCCACAGAAACTTATGTCTACTGGAGACTCTAACACACTCAACATGTCTGCAACTGTCCCACGTTTTACTTACCTTCCTATCAGGTATACACTAATCACGTTGTATTAATTGCACAATCCTTCAGTTTTACTCTTTTCGTAGTTCCCAAGATGTGGGTTTCACCCCTTTGTGCCGTTACTGAGGGCTGTGAAACTGTATTGCAAAAGGACAGATCATTAATGCATTGTTTTCAGTTACAGGAGCATCCCCAATGAGGTCTCGACGAACCCAATCACAAGAAGAGAATGATGCGATCTGGAGGGCAACAGTGCGCAGCGATGATGTCTCTACATTTTCCTTGTCCGATTCACCATCTCAGAATTCTCAAGGATCTGCCAAGCTGCTGCAGCAACTCATGGGAGTAAGTAACTGTTCTGTATGTGTGCTCATTTGCTTAGATACTGTGTGATGTCACTAGGAACTCAAGAAGTAGCGTCTAATTGATTTCAAAATCTAATTGTATCTTAACCATTGGTCAGGAAGTGAATAAGAAGGATCTGGTTATTTGAATTTTATGTAGTTTGTGCGAGGTCATTATATTTCTTCATTTGAATGAACAGGAAGAGATATCTAGTAAGCACCTTAAGGTGAAATTGATTTAAATCAGTTAACTCCTTTGAATCTTCGAAGGCCTGATCGAAATTACAGATTTCAAGCAGGAGGAAACTTCCAACCTGCTGTCGTCTACATACAAAAATCTTTTTGAAGCCGACCACTGGATATAAATTGCGTTTTGGAAATTAGACAACCCCTTCAAAACGTTTCATTCTGCAAGTGTCTTTAAGTTAACTCGGCTCAACGGAATGTGCAGGTGGGAACCAAGCTTGGAGAGGGAACGCTTGGGAAGCTACTCAGTGATGGACAAGTGAATCGCTTCAAAGACAAATCTGCTGCAGCTATTTCTACGTTTGGTGATATGCTACCAGCGCAAGCAGCGGGACTTTTCTCCTCCATTGGAAGTGCAATGAAACAAGATTCCCATAACACAATTTATTACTAGGTGTTACAGGAAGTATCGCCTCGTGAAGGGAATTGTTTCATGTGCATCCTTTCACTAAGGTTCCCTGCATGAGACTGCACAAATCCTGGAACTTCAGTCGGGGTGCATCTTCAGATGTTCTATATTAGGAGCATGTATATGTCGATAACAAATTCCGGATGCTCAGCATGAAGGAAATTGAAAGACACTAGGATTTGGAGATTGAAAGACACTAGGATTTGGAGGGTTACTGGCAGAAATGAAATTGTTATTGATGTTTTGTGGAAATGTCCACGTGTTTTGGGGGACGTTTATAAGTAGTGGATCACTGGATTAATCGTGAAATATTACGATTCTAATCGCAATGCAGGTTATCTTGGCTGCAGTTGACAAACCATGAAACATAGATTCTAAGTGCAAGGCCAACCTTGTGACACAGTCAGTATCCTCTGCAAAGACCCCAAATATATTTTGATTGAAGAACATAAGACTAATCATTTTCCGATTCATGGTTCTGGTATACAATATGTGCAATTATGCTGAAGCCTAGCTTTATGCGCTGACCTTCAGATTGATATTAAAAATGACATCATAGCGAACTCATGAGATAGTTGAAGAATCAAGCGTTAATGAGATAAATGATTGTGTAACTAGGATTAATGGAAATCTTCGCAGGAATTTGGTTCATGCTATTTTTTTCTCGCACCGTATTTGAGCTCGTTGCCCCCCTCCATTTGTTAGAAAGTTTAAGTGGAAGTGAGTCCTGAGAGTATGATCTACAGCACATATCGTATTACAGAGCTTGCAATCTTAGAAGCCCTTTGGGAGAAATTTCGGGTTCAGCTTATTCTGGGGTAGGAGGACGGCTTTATCGGATATCTAATTTACAAGTATTTGTGGTGCATAGTTTCTTTGGATATGTCATATGTGGTCACTTATTCTCATTTCGCTTGTACCATCTGACTAACTTTCTTAACATGTTTGTTAGGAGGAAGTTCAAATTATCGAAATACAAAATTGAATGAAACCCTGGTGAAGGCGATGGGGTTTTCTTATGATAAGGGGGGTGATTGGGAGATACTAGCATGTACTCATAACATTGTGCTCCGGCTCAAGGTTGTATAAATTTCATGTTGTATGAAACAATATCTGACATAGATTTTTACTGAGATTGTTCTCTTCTATGAATCACGTTCCAGACATGTCTTTTGAATTTGTGTCTGTTTGCTTCATGGCTACAAATGACATGACAAATTTTGCTCATTGTCATCCTTGCTTTGCTGTCTCTATCGCCGTACTTTATTGGGGTGGTGAGTGCTTGCTGCCTTGGTGGTGAGTGCTGCTTTGACGTGGCTACATTCTTCTCGCCACGTCTCTTGTGCTGTCATGCTAGCATTGAAGCATGTGCATTTCGACGTTTGAAGTTTTGCATCGTTTTTATCTAGGACTCTTCACTTTTTCTTTTTTTGTTTGTTTGTTTTTTATTCCTTGGAAAACTTCTGAAGATGACAATATTTATGATTGAGAAACCGTGTGATGTTTGTAGGTGGAGTTTGCTGGAGAAATTTTTGCATGAGCGATAGAGGAATTCAAGGCATCTTCAGGCAACCCCTACCAGTCTGCCGTGATCTCCTTTGCCAACTTCACTTGAGGGTATAATTCACTGACAACAGTTCTCTAGTGTCTGTTTGTGGTTTGTGGTTTGTGGCTTGTGACGTTGATTCTTTTCTGTAAGAACTATAATGTGGCTAAATACTCGTAATCTTCCTCAAAGCGGTAAACCGGCATGGTGATGATGGGCTAATTTGTACATGGCTATGTTTGCAACGCTTCAACTCTATTACTGTTAATGTATCAGGCAGTATCTGCTACTTAACATCGCAGGAGGGGGAGCATAATGTAGCCGGCATCGTATCCATGTTTGCAGCAAAGACATGGTACCTTTGAGAACGCCTTCAATGTTTTGATAACTGGACTAGAAATATCATGAAACTTTTTGCAAGTTGCAAAGTTTTCTACTTTCAGTTCTATTCTGTTATCAGGTTAACTTGATAATTTTCTGTTGAATGGACACTTAGGATATCGTTACAGTGGAAGTTCGTTTTACCCTGACTGAATATATTTGAACCCTTTTGTTGGGGTTAAATGGGTTTGCGAGATAGGTGGATAGATCTCTATTTGTGACTGGATTTGATTCTGACTATGACACAGCCTGGAAAACCAACTTTGATCCCTTCAATTATCAGATACCAACCAGGTACGTGAATCATGTATCTTGATTTTTTATTTTTCATTATTTGAGTTGTGATTTTCGAGAGAAATTTCGCGCTTGACTTCGCCTGGGACGTCGAAGCACTGCGGGGGGCTCCATCTTGTGATATTCTGGCTATTTGTATACGTTACTTTAATTTTCATAGATTCTATCCTCTTCATACTTATGTGTTGTGATTTGACGTCATGAAGATTAAAACTTTGATCAAATAACTTTATTACCGAGAATGTGTACATTTTATATGCTGCTCAACCCTCTGGTACATTAAAAGTGCTCTATACCGTGTATTTCAAACAAGCCTTGCGACAAATGAGAGTGGCCTGTAGCAGTGTCTTCACCTTTAGATCTGCGCTGTTGAACTCAAGATACTGGAAAAATCATTCACAATGATCTTATGAAACAGTTTGTAGAAGAGGCTGGAGGACAAGAGACGCGTATGGATGGTGAAGCCTTAACTGTACTTGATCGTTCTTTAATCGTCTGCAATGGAGCTATTCACGGCAGGGTTTCTCCAATTACTGGTCGTAACTAGTACCCAACCGAAATTATTCACTCACACTCCTCTGTGAGATAGGCTCTAGTTTGTACTTGTGTAACCTTCTAGTTTCTCCACATCTGCATCATTCTTAAGTGTTGGACCCGTTTGCTTCTGGCCTATTCGACGGCAGCTACTAGAAAAGATCCTAACCACCTCCGACAAGCTGATTGTGGATGGCTTGGACTTCTCACAATGGATGAGGCAGTCGTCTAAGGCAGCAGTTCAATTCTCCTCGCAATGCACGCTCCCTGTAGGCTTCGACTAGTGATCAGTGATTCTTGATCAAATGGATACAAAGCTACGGTTCAGTAAGTTCGGGTGCCCCCCGTCGAGCCTCTTGCCCGAACTTTCTTCAACATCTTTAGTATCAGAAGTATTGCACAAACCTGAGAAAAGTTAAGTACATTTTCAAGACGTTGGAGGCTAGTGCCTTTGTCATTGTCACTCCGACATCAAACCCATCGGTAGACTCTACATCGGGTCTTGAATGTTTTGGCAAACTTCTTGTGGAACCAGCATTATTTCAGCAAAGTGTTGTATATTCGAAGAACCAGCTTCCACGTCGGCACTCAGACCGATGTCCGAACTCTACCCACCAGTAGAATACGTCCTTGTTCAACAATCCTCAGCAATTCTTGCCCTTCTATTTTTAACAGCTAAAGATTCACTCTCTCCATGCGGTTGACTTTACCCAGGACGCGAGAGCCTCCAAATGCGTGGGCAGTGAAAAGTGTGGCGGCTTAATTGAGATGGAGATGAGTCCTGTGCCTAACGAAGTCACCAGTCTTCCCCCGAAGCTGCTGGTGAGCCGCTTCAAAAAATTTAAAGCGCCCCTGAAAAGTCGACGATGCTTCTTCGTGTGATTGCAGAAAGACTAACTTAGAAACCTTAACTTTGCACGCTTGTTCCAATGTAGGGGGGCGGATCAGCGGCTATTCCATGTCAAGGGGTGAAATCGCCATTATACAGGTGTACAACTGTAAGCACAGGAGGATAACATTCTTGCTACATTTTTGGAAAATTGCAGCCCGTTATCGAGATACGATATTAAGCAACCCTCTACTGAGTTAGCAGAAATGGTCATGGCTGGGTATTCTCCGGACGATCGGCTTGTATCAGCAGCATCCACGACATTGTCAAGATTTCTGTCGAATCCCGTGGGATACAGAACACCTTGTCCTGGTGACAGCTGCCCGGTAGGGTAGACCATCCATTTCCTCTTTTGGCAAAGAAGCTACAGAAACATGAGGCTTTCCGGTGACTCTGACAAGAAAAGAGATTCAAGAGAAGCAGCAAATATTTTGTGGGGGGGGGGGATCGGAGGCTTTCTCAATGATTCATGTCGCTGAATGGCGTCCCTCGTTTAACCTACGGAGAACAGAAGAGGGTAATCACCAATCATCCAGGTTAACTCATCGTGCCAAGTAAACTTAAATCCCAAAAGTTGATGATTATTGGGTATTAGTGCGCGGCAGGTTTCTCTGGAGGGTCTACACACACGAAAAATTAAAATTAAAATTGAGATCTCCCTCTACGAACTATAATACGTACACAGTAAAAGATTCTATCACCTCGTATATAGAATACAAAGGTTATACTGTTTTGTACAGTTTCTTAATGTGGGTGTTTGCTTCAAAGCTTCAATTATCAACCTGTAAGTTGACAACTGCATGACACTTGACATTACCACTGGTTTTCGTGCCAATTATACACTGGTTAGCATATCATGGAATCTCTTGTAATGGGCGCTGATTAGGCACGTCCCAGGAATCTCACACCTCCGTTGCGCGATGAGAGAGAAACGGTGGTTTTGACACTGCATCGTTCCACCCACCTGGTCAAAAACAGTGGAGAAGGACAAAGGTGCGGTCGACAGAATCACCTCCGCAACGAATGATCAGGTTCCTGCAACTAAACTGGTGCCGCCACCATCGGCGTGGTAAAGCCTACAGAGTTTCCATCGAGTACTGTAGATCACCACTTTCCTTCACCGTATGGTTCACACCGGCTTTCTCCAGAGCCCTCGATTCGTCCAGAGCTGTGGTGCACAGTGGATGGGAGGGTGCGCTCCGGAGCTGCTGGACTCACCTCTGTACCTTGTATGGTCAAGTCAAAGACCGCCCGTTAGCGACTTTGCACGCTGGTGATAGCTAGGCAGTAAACATTCTTACTCTACGTGGGGATATTCAAAACAAAGACAGCGGGGGTTGCAATTTAAAAATGATGAGATGAGCCGATAATAAACTCATATTTCGCCGAGGATACTCACTCAGGGCCACTAGGTATAGGTGACGGCGCGCGTTCTACCGCTTCCACCCGACAGCCCCCAAGTCCTACCATCAAGCCCATGCAGCTCATTTTGTCGCAGCACACGCCCAACTCCTCCCAACAAAAGCTCGTCACTACGTCGCCATTAAATGCGATCTCGGCCGTCCGCTTGTCTTGTTTAATGCTGGGTCTCCCACTGTTAAAGTCTATAGTCTGAGATTGCATTTATTGCTTGACGTCGGTTTTCCGGCTCCGGGGGTCTTCGTGCTTCTGGATTCAGCTCACGGTTCGCTGAATTTCGTGACCAGTGGAGGTCTACTGGACGGAGAGGATTTAAAGCAAATGTAGCGCGTTTGATGTAAGATAGATGTCCTTCCCATATTGTCGTTAACAGCTGTACACTTGAGTATTTATCGCAAGCAAGCTTTCTTCGACTGGTCGGCACTCTGGGGTTTGAGTGACTTGGTCGCGATCGATCGCGCTTAGGAGTCGGTTTTTGTCTGTAGCTGGTTTCGACTACTTATGTAGAAACCGGAGATTGATGATAATTTGAAGCAAAAACCTGCTCAACGAGGGAGTCCATTGTTGTGGAATTTGTGGAACTTGCCTTACCGAGTATAACTCTACCCATTGTTGTGTTGCCGACCTGTTCTCTCATTTATGTTTGTAGAGTTGATCAGATTCTAGAGCTGGACCTTGCAATGACAGATTAGCACGGTTGTGAGCGATCTCTCTTCAGCAGAGATTCACATTTGTAACCGACTTCGGACACCATGAGTCGCCAACTTTCTACCGACGCTTTCCAGTTCAAACTGCAATCCTACAGTCCGAGCCGTTTCCTGACGACGCCCAAGGGTCGTAGGATGATGAAGACGGTGAATACCTTCAAGGTTACCATTCTGTGCGGGTTGATCACCATTCTGGTGTTGCGAGGGACCATGCAGGCCGGACCTACCCTGCCAGACAGCATCACTGATTCCGAGGTGGAACGTGTGCGTGTGAGGTCCTCCGCAAGGGCGCGAATGCTGGCCCAGGTTGAAGAAGGTGATAGCAGCAGCTCTGGCGGTGAGGAAGCATTGACTTCTCGTAAATCTGTGCAGCACGAGAAGTGGGATCCCAAGACACCTTACACTCTAGGCCCAAAAATCTCTGACTGGGACGCGCAACGGAAGTTTTGGAACACGATGAATCCTGGGATGAATAAGACTCGCACTGGCAAGCCCAAGTTGCTGCTGGTCTCGGGATCGCAGCCTGGGCCTTGCGGCAATCCCATGGGCGACTTCTACTATTTGAAGTTCTTGAAGAACAGGATTGACTACGCCCGTATCCATGGTCTCGAGATTTTTTACAACATGGCCATGTTTGACAACGACATGACCTCGTTTTGGGCCAAGCTTCCGCTGCTGCGAAAGCTGATGGTGAATCACCCCGACGTGGAGTGGATATGGTGGATGGACAGTGACGCTGTCTTCACAGACATGACCTTCGAGATGCCCATGCACAAGTATGAGGGGAAGAATCTAGTCGTCCACGGGTTTCATAATCTCTTGTACGAAGAGCAACGGTGGATTGCTTTGAACACTGGGAGCTTCCTCATCAGGAACTGTCAGTGGTCTTTAGATTTGCTCGATGCGTGGGCGCCGTTTGGACCCGAAGGAGAAACCAGGGTTAAAGCAGGTTCAGTTTTCTCTTCTTCTCTGAGGGTGCTGCCTACAATTTACTTATTTCTTCTACAATTGCAGTATCTTTTACTGACGATCCTTCTAGCGGGTTTTGGTCGCAGGGAAAATGCTGACGGCGAAGTTGGTTGATCGTCCCGATTTCGAAGCCGACGACCAGTCCGCCCTTGTCTATCTCCTGCTCTTCGATGATCCGAAATGGAAGCTGAAGACGCACATTGAATGGGAGTTCTATCTCCACGGTTACTGGAAGTACTTAGTTTACAAATACGAGGATTTGATGAGTAAGAGCCGGCCAGGGTTCGGGGACGACCGGTGGCCCTTGGTGACGCACTTCGTAGGATGCAAACCCTGCCAGGAAGCTGTGACTACCAAATTGGACGAGTGTCTCGCACAGATGGAGCGAGCTTTCAATTTTGCAGATAACCAGGTGCTTGAGAAATACGGGTACACCCATCGTTCTCTTGGGTCCTTCAAGACGCAGCGCATTCGCAAAGATTCCCCTGATCCATTGGGCTTGCTAGAGGAAACTCTACCCGCGCTGGAGAAACCTCAAAACAGCACCGCCCCTAAACACCAAGCTAAGGATCTCCTGCAGCATTGAAGCGACTCGCTGAGCACCTTCACAATCAAAAACTTTCACTTAGTTTGAGGCGAATGCCCTAAACATGACATACACTAGATCTTCACGCCAAGGATAAAAGCGGTTGCTCGTTGTTATTGCGATGCTCCATTCATGTATTGCACGTGTTTTCGGGTCGTCAATTCTATCCCGAGCCACGGCGATCGCAGTGCTCTGTAGATTTGTCGATAAGCAGAACCGTAATTTAGCCTGACGCGCTTCGTTGAGAGCTTCCGGCAAGCCAGACCCAGTGCAATCTGTACAGGACTGTGTACCTTGCGACGAAATCCACACTCCTCTCGAGGTCTTTCTCACTCCCAACCATTCTCTGCAATCCAACATACTGTAATTCTTGGGCAAAGGTCCACTTGGGTTTTTGGGTTCCCCTCATCGAAGAGCATCTTCTGAGAGGAGTATTACAAAATAAAACAACTTGCATGTGCAGCTCCAGTACGCTCTTCTTCGATGGAGATGATGATACACACAGAGATTCTGTGTTCTTCTAATATCAATTTCTTTGTCTCGACGAAACCGATTTTGCATAGTTTCTGCATACTTTGCAATTGGCATCACCATACAGTTCGATGATAAAGATCAGAGCAAAAATGCAAAGGAACTCTGAGTCTAGAATGGATGCAACTTTGACGATTCGATATCTAGACGCAGCGCACATCCAAATCTGAGATGAATGTTGTACAACGCTGTATTCGCCGACGCACAACCAGCCCCGACCGGAATCGGAGCAACCGTTTTCATTCAAGGTTTGATTGTGCGTTGCATCTAGATTACGAATCGTCACATTTGCATCCATTTCAGACTTAGAGTTCCTTTGCATTTACTCTGATCGTCATCATCGAAGTCTATGGTGAAGCCAATTGTGAAGCATGCAGATAGCAGATGAGACAATATTTATTTTTTATACCTTGATTCTAAAATTTATACATTTATATAGTAACCATACACCACAGGAAAAGTACATGTATATAATAACTTAATTAATTCTAAAAAGAAAAGTATAATATGTTTCTTACACTTTGTAACTTATACGTTTTGAATGACTTTGCATTACATACTCAATTGAAAATGGTTGAGTTTGTGCGCTGAAAAAAGAGAAGAAAAGAAAAATAGGAATACTATTTTTGAGACACAAATTTTTATTAAGCGTGTTTACTCATAAAATTTGAATACGAGAAGTGTTGAGTTTTCTAAACTATCCCTGCTTTCTAAACTAGTGCAAAAGTAGGTGGGAACTCGTGAGAGCAAATTCTGTGTAAAACCGGGTGGGGTGAAGACGACCGTTTCGGGTGGAATCCACCTCCGTTCATGAATTTCCCTCAAAAAGAGCGGAGAAGGAAAGGCCTCAGCAGCGTGTTTGTTCTGTTTGTTTGTTGTTGTCCATGGCTCGTGAGGCAGTTTGAGCAATGGCGATGAGGAAAACGAAATTCAAACAGCAAGGTCCTCGGCGAGCCTTGGTGGGGCGGCACGGACTAGCGAAAACTGTTGGTGTTGCCGTTCAAGCTGGCGTTTGTTACCCTCTAGACACATTGAAGTCGCTCCAACAGGTATATCCCTAAACCCCTAAACCCTGGCTGGAATCAGTACAATGCTTTAACTCTCTTGAGATATAGCGGATTGTGACGAAATCCTTTAAGTTTGGAAGTTGGATAGAGCTTTAGTTTTTTTATGAGTGTGAATTTCGTGGTCCATGTGATAATCTCTGGGAGCAGGTGTCTGCAAATGCAGGGGACAATGCAGGACTAAACATTGTTGTTGATTCGAAGAAAGGAAAAGGCGCGGGTACATTGGCTTCTGGAATGAGGTCAACTGTTGGAGTAACAGGTCAGTGTGATAAGTTGCTCTCATCATCGAGGTGAAGTGATATGGACCTGGGATTCAGGTGGTGCTTAACATTTCCAGCCTTTACTGTGTGCAGGGTTGTATGGAGGATTAGGGTGGCACGTTTTGGGGAGGTTGCCTGCGCTTGGCACGCAGTACGCTTAGAACGCTTGTTTCGGTGTGTACGAGCTATGTTGCGCTTTCGCCACAGGTAGCTCATACCACCACGTCGGAAACGGGTTATCTTGGCACGAAGTTACGTCGTTGCAAATCCAATCCCATCTTAAGGTAATGGAACCCTTGGAGACGTCGTTTTTTTAGTTTGTTTTTAGGGCTTTATTCCTTGTAAAACGATCCTGGCTTATGAGACTGAAATTCTGCTTTGGATTTGAAATTCAATTTAAATTCCAGTAATTGTTTTCAGATGCCGAGAAATTGTTGCAGTTTATAGAGCTTCTCTGATGTGGCTATGAGATTGGGCAAACAGGCCCACGATTGAGGTTTGCATTGAGTTTTTATTTGTTTTCGATTTGAATTTAGAACTTGTTCGACACCTTGTTGTTAGTTGTCTCTCCAGCATGAATATGCTTCTCTGTCTATTAGACCTGCCAGCTTTGCACTGGTGATATTTAGTTGGGCATTATTGTGAAGATATCTTGATTGATTCAAAAGCTTCTCAAAGGGTTTGTGTTTTGCTTTGTTGTATCTCATTTCTTTTCATTTTGATTGATTGTCCACTTGCTGCAGTTCTGTTGACATGGATTGTATTCGGGATCAGTGTGCTGCTGTGCTAAATATGGCGATCGATCTGCAGTTGGGCTTGACATGAAAAAGTGGAGTTCAGGTGGGCTGAATACAGTGATCTGGAGTGGCATCAAGAAATGAAGTTGAGTTGGAACAATGAAGTAGAGACACTCAACGTAGAAAGTGGATGGGACTGAATATAGAAAATAGGAGGAGTATAAAGAGAGACCAGGGCATTGGTAATTATTTATTTTCCCTTTTCTCTAGCGTCTCTTACCGTCGTTCGTCGTTTGTAGCTCTTGGCTTTGGTGTGTGGGTGTTTACGCTATAGCAGCATGGCGGCGCCTAGGACATGTGTTTTGCTGGTCTTCATATTGCTCCTGTGTATGTCTCTCCCAGGAAAGGGGTTGAGTGGCGAAAGGGAGAATGCCATGGGAACAAGAAAGCACTTCAGGCCCAAAATTCCTCTACCGCATCATCTGCCGCATCCTCTGCCGCATTTTCTGCCACATCATCTGCCGCATTTTCTGCCGCATCCTCTGCCGCGTCCTCTGCCTCTGCCAGGGGCACTACCTCCCTTGGCAGACCTTCCTCCTCTGCCAGGATTTATACCTCCTTTTCGTTTTCGTGACCCGTTTGTTACGGATTCGTCGACTTCCACGACGAGTGAACCGTAGACAAGAGGTTTGATCTTTTTCAAATGTTGATTTTAAGGTTGTAGTCCTGCACTCATTTTATTTTATTTACATCAATCGTTTGTTTTGTTCAGAAGAGCTATGCGTCATGAGGGCGACACTTTGGGAGATATAATGGATATGAAATAAACTGCCTGAAATTGAAGCCTCACGCAGCCAATTGCTTAGAAGCTTCCTGTCTTCGGAACAAAATAGCTATGGAGTTAGAAGCCTCTATCCTGGCCATGAGGAACATTGATTTTCTTTGACTTTACGCATGTTCAGATTTAGTAAAAATCACTTTCAGTCTTGTGGTAAAGTAGGCGTCATTTTGAGTCTCCACCTTCCTCGCAGCTCGGCCAAGCTTCGTCGTAACGAGTTGATGAAGTGACAGACATGGTTCTTCATGGTTAATATTGTTGTTGAATGAGAAGGGAATCTGGTTTAATGTAATGGAGTCGATTGTTTAAGTTTCAGTTACTCAGACATAGGATTGTGTTCTCCTTGTAATGTTGAAGTAAGTTAGACTGTAATTGAAGTAGAGTTATTGCAGAGTATCAAGGGTCCACAGTAGAGTCTTAGACTTTTAGATGACTTTCAGAATTTTCGCACACAAAAAGTGCATTATGTTTAATAACACTGGTTTGTTAAAAAAACAAATCTCAATGATAAAATAAAGAAAACTACCGTATGAAAACCATTGTTATTTAATTTCCAAGAAAAAAATTAAAAAACTGAAAGCATCATTCATAATGTATAAATATGTTTATAAAGTATATTTTTTGTTTTTAATACAGAAATGAATATTATTATATTATAATATATTATATTATTTTGACTATTTTTAGTGTATGTATTTTAAAACATATTTTTTAAATTTTTAATGTAGTTTTTATTGCCTATATTGTTGATTATATTTTATAAGTAAAAAAGATACAAAAACATATATATGAGTAATAAAGATATTTTTTTATTAATTAATTAAAGTATGTTTTTGTTATCATCATTATTTTAAATAAAGCTATCAATGAATGTGCAAGAAGGCAAATAAAATTTATTTGCTTCCATAGCAACAAAAACTAAGTCAATGAAGGAACAAAGAAATATATACATATATATGGTTTTTATTCTAACATTAAAAATATGTACAAATCTACTTGGCTTAATTTATAATCTTAATAGATGGGGATTTTATAAAATATGCAAGATTTTTATAATTTATGTGAAATTATCAAATTTCATATTTCTTAAGCAATGTGAGCAATAAAGGAGCATCTAGTCAATCTAAGGTGCATAAGATATGTATTGTTAATGAATAAGAGTTTTCTTGTTTGTCTCCTTTCACATTGCAATAGCCAATACCTATAGAAGTACCAAGGTGGACAAATATTTTCATTTATATAGAAAGGACACATAGGATATGTTGAATATGATAATATTTAATATTTTTATATGTATGATGAAGAGATTTTACAATAACTAATTCTAAGTTTTAATATTGGTGCCAAAAAACATATGCATGAAAGTATCAATGACATATTTTATTAGTTGTATTTATGGTGTCTGAATATTGAAAACAATAAAGATTTCATTCTATCATGGTTTTAAAAAATGTAACAAATTTGAAATTGAAAAAATTAATATACATTGTGAAAGTTTCTCAAAAACATCAAATATTGAATTGTGGTATGTAATCATTATTTTTATTTTGACATATTTGATACCCTAAAAAACTAAAGGAGTACTTTGTATCAAATGATGCCAAATGTGGCATGTATTGTACGTAAAGGATTATGTCAACCTCTGAGAATTGGTTGTATTTAACAGCCCAATGCAATTTTTTGAATGAAAGAAGCATTATATTAGAATTCTTTTAATTCATATTAAAGAATGTTTTAACAGTCAATGTAACTTTTGTTGATTTTCTTACAATAAAATCTTACATTCACACTACAAAAATCAACAGAAACATTCTCAATAAAGAAGAAGCTTCGAGAAGGCACTTACACCAAAAAACAAAAAAACAAAACAAAAAAACAAAAAACAAAAAAAAATCATCATCAAATTCCAAAAACAAGCATCACATTCCACCACTCCTTTACAGAGCACATCCCCCCCCCCCCACACACACTTTAAAGAAGTGGACGCGCAATAAAGTTTCAGGAAAGCATCATGGCCGACTTTTTATTAGACCCGAATACGTGGCATCCAGCTCACCAATCGGTCCATACCGACGTGGCAAGCGGGACCCCTGCGGGAGCGGGCGGGCAGAAACTTAGATTCTAAGTGCAATGCCAACCTTGTGACACAGTCAGTATCCTCTGCAAAGACCCCAAATATATTTTGATTGAAGAGCATAAGACTAATCATTTTCCGATTCATGGAGGAGGAGGCAGAGCCATCGAGAGAGCGAGAGAGCGAGAGAGCAACAGTAGCAAAGCAGTTGCGAGAAGAGAGGAGAATCCATGGTGGAGCCCAGCAGCAGCACTCTCAGGACCCCGATTTAGAACGGACCACATTGTGTTTTGTTGCTAGGGCCAGCAAGCGAGGGTTGTTGTCGTCGTCGTAGTTGCAGTCAACACCACAGCCTCGCCTCCTCCTCCCTGCTGCTGCTGCAATCCGTCTCTGTGTGCTCGTGCGCCTGTCAGGAAGGAGGGATGTAAGCTCAACGCTGTGGGTGTCTGAACGCTGGATGCGTTAGGGGTTTAGTGTGATTAGGGTTTTGTAATTTTTGCAGGTTTTCGGTACTGGGTTTCGACTCTGGTCGAGTTTTATTTTTCTTAGTCTCAGAGAGAGAGAGCGAGAGAGAGAGAGAGAGAGAGAGAGAGCAGAGATGGAGTGCATGAGGGCGATGTCATCTGTGTGTCCTGGGTCGATGGCGATCGGGGTTGGGAGATCGGACATCGCCAATGGCGTCGGTGAGGCCGTAAGTTTTCATGGCAGGTTAGAGGGACTGATGCCTCTGCGAGTGCAGAGAGTACAGGGGAGAATACAAGGGAATGGAGCTTTGAAGGGGTTCACATGGCGGAGGAGGAGTAGTGTGGCAGCTTCTTCTTCTTCTTCTGGAGTGGGGATGACTCCGGAGGAGCCGTTGGATTACAGTGTTGACAAGGCTGCCGATGATGCCGAGAAGGAGTTTGATGGTGCAAAGGAGTCAATTGGAAGCTCCGCAAAGAATTTGAAGGAGAAGGCGGGTAGTGAGCTTGGTGAGTCAAAGCAATCGTTTAGCAGCACGGTGGACGACGTCAAAGGGGAGGCGGGGAAGGCTACGAGCTCCGCCGAAGATATTCCCAATAAGGTGTGTGGTCGCTCATTTGTTGTCTTTTCGAACTGGCAGAGCGGGGTACGCTACAATTCTTTCTATAATTTGCATCAGTGGTTCACTCTCTGCTGGTATCTTGTGGTGAAGCAGAAAGAATTGAAAGTAAAATTATTCCTTGAGGTATTGGGGGATTTGCAGAATCCTGTATGGGTGTGCGTTTTGTCAACCAATGTGTGGTAGTTGTCGAGAAGGCGCTTGGGGCTTGTTGTAACCTTTGGTCTTTGCTAGGTCAGGTTTTGCATTACATCTCCGACTTACCCAGCAACACCTTTTTGTCGTTTTACAAATCACAGTGACCCTGATTTGATGAGAATTTTGTAAATGTGGAGGGTCAATAATCGCAGAGGTTATTCGGCATCCCAGGGCTTTCCGCTTTCAATCTGTTGGAACGTTGTTGTGCTTACAGTCTAGTATCCCAGACATTCTTCGAAACTCAGAAACCTCTTTGTGTTTAGAATACCTGAAGTACAAACTGGGTTTAGGAGCGTCTCTGCCAAAGGATGCGTGATGCATTGTAGTCAATAACTTTACGTGAACTTCTGTGTCTTTCTAGGAACTGGAGAGGCTGAAAGACATTACAAATCAGCTTCTAGAGCAAGCAGAGGCAGCACGACAAAAGATTGCTGCAACAGCACAGGAAACAGCTTACAAGCAGAAAGACAATCTGGCATATGTTGCAGAGAATGGACCGGAGCCAGTGAAGGAAGTTGCAGAATCAGCCCTCGATGCGCACTATTCAAAATCTGGAAAGAGCGGTTCTAAGATTCATGATTTCTGCTTAGGTATCCCCTATGGGATTTTTCTCGCTGCTGGTGGTCTGCTTTGGTTTATACTCTCAGGTGGGACTTCAGCTTTAAGGTTTGGTGTGCTTCTGGGAAGCGGTCTCCTGTACTTGAGTGTGACCAGCTTGAAGAAGTGGAAAAATGGAGAGTCTTCTATGACATACATTCAGGGCCAAGCAGCCATCACTGCCTTTATCTTCCTCAGGTTTGCTCGCCTTACTGCATTTCTTGTTACATCTTGACATGTTAAATCATCAATTTAGTCAATCCACAATCTAGTTAAGAGAATAAAACACGATTCCAAAAGTAGAGCATGTTTTGGTAATTTCCTCTTTTATTAATGCTTTTTGTGAAGAGTCACTACTTCATTCTATTTTTTTCATGAGAGTTGCAATCCCATTTTCTGCTCCAGTGTTGGATATCTCAATTTATTGATTGCCTGATTTTGGTGCTGCGAGTTAGAGATGCTCTAGGTTTCTTTTGATTGCATTCAGAGGTTTATGTTTCTTATCATGAGGCTTTTATTCTTTTATTTATTTATTTATTTATTTGGGATCAGGTACTACCGGCGATACGGTGTAAACAAAGTGTTCTTTCCCACAGGAGTTGTAGGCCTAGTAAGTGGGGCCATGTTGGCTTTCTATATTTATGTATTAGTATCTGGTGGAAATCCTCCCCCTAAGAAATCCAAGAGTCAACCGAGTTGAGAGTTCTGAGAATCTCCTCTTGGCTTTACGGATATTTATGCCTCCCTGTTAGGCAGCCACGGGAAGCTCAAGGGAGTCTTTCAATCAATGAAGCAGATACTATTCTAGACTAAGTGGGAAGAATTCGGCTGGGAATACATGATGGTTTTCGAGAACTCGCTCATGTCTGTTTTTTTTGACGAGGTAGTGTTGACGATTGAAGTGTTAAGATGGACACAAGACCTCATTCTGTACGTATGTTTAATTTCATATGACGATCTCTAACAGCTATGAAGACTAGCATCACCATCACCACGTCAACGTTCGAAAGGAACTGAAGGAAATACCTTATGGCCCAGAAGTCCAGATGTGTCAACGATAAGCTCACTAGAATCCTCATGCTTGATCCAGGTTAATCACCACCCCAGTAAGGCATTGCAAATCTTTTTCTGGAAACTCGGAGGTGTTTGAACACTTTTCCGTTCCTCGGGCGACATGATCCAGTAAAACTTTTTTCCATTCCACTCATTGTTGTTGACTTTTTTGTATGCGGTTGAAATCACATCCCACTTATCATGGCCCTGCGGAGCGCTTCGTTGAAGCCCACAAGCCCAGCAGTAATCTGCAATCCCAGTATTTTGGGATCTTGATAAATTAAGATTGTGCAAAAGAAAAAGAATCTTAAAATTCTAATAAAATTCTAAATAAATTCTAATAAAATCTTAATCAAATTTTGAATAAATCTTAAGGAAAATTTAAAATAATCATAAATAAATCCTAAAGAATTTCTAAAGAAGTCATAGAACTTAAAAGAATCTGTAAAAATTATAAATAAATATTCAAAAATTATTAAAAACAAAATTTTAAAAAATAATGAACAAATCTCAAAGAAATATTAATTAAAATCCTAAATTAATCTAAATTAAATTTTAAATTAATCCTAACCAATCTTTAATCAAATTCTAAAAAAAATCTTAACAAAATTTTTGAAAAGTTCCAAATTAAATCTTTTGTAGATTTAAATCCTTAATAACTAATAATTTAATTATTTTTCTTGACTCAAAAAAATTATACCTTTCAAGCTTTTAGTTTACAACATAAACAACAAATTTGAAGAAGATATAACTTACAAATTTGAAGAAAAATCTTATAATTTGCTCCAATATCAACCAACTTCCTTCTCCAACCTTGACCCCAATCTTTCATCACCAATATCTCTTGTGTTCACCATTCAATTGATCTCAAATCTTACACAATTTTTAAAAACCAAGTTTTTTACTAGTATGTCAAATTTTACCTTGATCTAAGAAACAAATTATTTCAAATGTTCAAAAATTTCATTAGCCTTATAAAATCCAATTTCCAAGACTTCATCCCACTTGATTTTGATAACCTTTAATTTATTCATCTAATCAAGTTTTAACTTACAAGACAAATTTAAGACAATTATAATCACAAATCTTCAAATTCTTAGTTAGAAAACCACTACAATTTACATAAAATGCTTAAAAATGTAAATCCTTTTTATTTTACAAAATCAAAGTTGTTGCAAAGCAACTATGACTTTGTAAAGCTCTTATAAAGTTATTACAAATTCCCATCACCTAAAACTAATGACTAAAGAAGTTTTTTTCAATTTGATCTTATATTCCAATCTTTGATCAACAAATAAACCTAAAAATTGCCATTGGTGCATGGTTTTGTGTCTTAGGGTCTGGTTTCAATTTTGGTTTATAATTGATCTTCTTTGAATATCAATTTTTAATTTTTGAAGATAATTTTCATTAAAAACTATTCTTAAGTTTCTTTTAAAAATATCAATATTATCATTATTTATTATTACTATGACAATCTTATAGCTGCATTATAATATAACAATAAGATTGTAGTAGCAATAGCTAAAACTATGGTAATATGTGGTGGATAGCAGATTGTGGTAGTAGGAACAAAAACCATAATAATATGTAGTTGTTGGCAAATTTTGATTGAAAGAACAAAAACTATGATAATGGGTGATGGATGGCAAATTGTGGTGGTAGTAAAAAAAATTTGTGGTGATTTTAGCAATACTTCATATATATATATATATATATATATATATATACTTCCAAAGAATTATTGATACAAACAAATAGATAACAAATTCTATAAGTAAAAAATAAACAAAGTAAAAAAGCAAAGGAGCAAATGAAATTGAAGAAGCTCACTTCTGCTTATCCTAAGTTAGCACTTTTTTTACATGAAAATAAATAAGGAGAAGAAAAATAAGACTCAAAAATCAATATTTAATTGCATCTAGGAGATGGAAGCGTCTGTAGCAATAGAGAGCCAATGATAAGACTTCAAATAATCCTACGACACCATGTAGATTGATATATCTCTTGTCAATGAAAAAAATAAAAATAAAATGATATAGATAGAAACAAATAGATACAATCACAAATAAATAGATATAGAAAGAAAACGAGAGAGACAGAGGACATGTGGAATTGGATATCTTGGAGTGGACATCCATATTATACCAATTAGTAAACTTGTACATTGACCAACACAAGAATCACCATATTAAGCTTTCATATGATGTTCCAACATCTACTATAGTATTAGTTGCCTTTAGAATTTTTATTCAATTTGTGAGTTGATTTATTACACCTTGCATCTAGTATTATCTATCATAATGGATATAATCCATATAGTAGTATGATGGGTATATTAATGATGGAATTAGGTTCATTGATAGTATTGTGTGGAGAGATTTAAAGACATTTCTCATGGAAGTTTTAGTAGTGTTGTTGTAGTCCAGTAATAAAATACATTAATTCTTCCACTTTTACATATTATGGACTTTGAACATTGTACTTCTACATATGAATGGATGAATACATCAATGTATGGTAGTGTAGAAGAATAAATTGTTAAGAAATCTTATGATACATCCTTGTGATAGGATATCAATTTAAATTTGTTGATTGTTATAGATCTAAATATGGTTGTATAAGATGCAATGATTATATTAAAATATTTATTTGAGATGTGTATCTATAATAATACTTTCTAATAGTGTATCTTTGATGGCAATCATTTTATTGTGATAGTATTTATTTTTTATTTTTTATTTTTTATTTTTTTTGTATCATGGTATTAGAATAGGCCATCTAAGAACTAAATAGACTCAAAGTAGTTTGTATAGTTTTTTTTTTTTTTTTTTTTTTTTTTTTTTTTTTCATATGAAAGTATTCTTCTTGAATTCAATAGCATATTATATAAATTGCAAGAATAGTTAGTAGAGTTATAACAAGTCTCGCACATATAGGAATAATGGACTTTGTAATTGTAGCCTTGAAGATGCTATTTAGAACTGATTTGAAGTATTTTCAAGAAAGCATGATTTGAAGTGTTCTCAAGAAAAAAGACATTTGGAATATAATTAATTCAATACTTAAGCCTACATCAATACTACATCCAAAGAAAATATAGACTAATAGTAGAAACTCTTCTAGAATTCATGATATTCAACAATCAAAAAATGATGTAGAGAAGAAAATCATGAATAAAAAAAGAACATTAAGGAACGAAATACCAAAGAGCTTTATATATGTTATAATAGTCATAGCAAAATTTTCAACCTCACAAGAAAGAAATCAACTTTAGAGATAAAAAAAACTAGAGGAGTGGATTTTCTTAGGTTATTTTTTACAAAAATGGTAAAACCTTATATATATGACATCCCAGATCTTAAAATAAGATTATTTTTTTTAATAAATGTGTATTTAATATATATTATTGCTGATACTATGGTTATTCTAGATAAGTAAAAAAATCTAAAAATGTTTGATGATATGATTGTCTCTTTCATATAATATGCTTATGAATTAATTATGAATTGATTATCAATTTTCAAAATATAGATGAGTTACCTTTAGACACAATGATAGTTCATAAAATCCTAAAAAAATTGCTTACTAGATTTGAAACTTTTATAAGGATACTAAAGGCAAAGAAGGTCATTTCTACCTTAGTTAGCTTGGCTAGCATACTACACATAGAAGAAACTAAAATTAATTTACTATCTAATCCTCATGAAGAAGCCTTGGTTTTTAGAATTAAATATGCTTTGGAAAATTGATAATGCTTAGTATTTGGATCTAAAAGCTTTGGCATTATAACAACTTCATCAAAAAAGATTTGAATCACAAGAGAATCAAGTTTGTGATTATTGTAAAAAACCTTGTTATTTAACAATGCATTGTCAAGCCATTAAAACACTTTCTTCTAGATACTATTCATCAAGAGCAAATTATATGGAAGATATATTTGGTGAACAATATCCCACTCTAGATAATATTTAGATTGTATTGAAAATATTATCAATAGTATCTTTCTATAATAAATATTTGATAATAGGTAATCGTATCGTAAAATATTTATTTGGAAATTAGAAAGTATTCTTGTTATTAGAAAAGAACAGAGATTATATATCGATAGCCATAGCAAATAAAAAAGTACATACTATATAAGGTTAAAAAAATATTACTCTATTTGATTCTACTAAAGAAATAAATAGCCTCAAAAATATTTTGTATGTTTTAGGATTAAAAAAAAATCTTCTATCTATATAGCAATATGTTAAAAGCAATAATTTTATTTTTATTTTTATGAAGGATAAATATATTATATTAATCAAAAATAATCTACGACAATTTGTTATTATTGAATATTAGGATCTATTGTCAAAATTATACAAGTTAATCCTAAAAAATAGGCTTAAAATTTTGAAGCATGAAGCTACTTTCAATATAAAAAATAATTTTTAAGTTGAATAAAAATCAAGCTCAATTAATACAAATTATCTCTCCTACTTATGGCACTATTTTTTTGATCATGTTAGTTTTTTAATAATAATTATATTAAACTCAAAAGACTTGATTTATGAACTATCAAACTTTGAAGTGGAAAAATTAGCATGTTGTTACTATGTTCAAAGTAAAAAAAATAAGACAACTATTTTCAAAAGGTGAAGCATTAAGATCAAATAAGTTGTTGGAATTAATCTATTTCAATCTTTGTAGTCCATTGCTTGTGATTTCTCTATCAAAAAGTAGGTACTTCTTTATATTTGTAGATGATTGCATAAAAAAAAATTGGATTTACTTTCTTAAGAAGAAACAACAAATAATTAGTAAGTTTATTGAATTTTAAAAAATAATATAGAAACAAAGTAGTCACAAAATTAGATCTATACAAATAAATAATAGTAGGGAGTTTATCTTAAGTACTTTTAAAATATTTTGTAAATCTCATAGGAAAGTAAGGCAGATTATATAAGTTTATACACCTCAACAAAATGGTATTGCTGAGTGACAAAATTGGACAATATTAAAAAAAAATAAGATGCATGCTATTATTTGAAAAAGTATCCAGCTTCTTATAGATTGAATTAGCTAAAAAAATATTTTATTTAATCAATCAAACTCCAACTAAAGTAAAAGAATACCACTTGCTTCTAGGGAAAGCTTTTACTAGA